ACGGCTATTTGTGTTTTTAGAAATAAGAACCTGGTACCGACACTCTTGGCAGATACTCTTTACACCATTCATTTCAGGCATGGAAAAGGAGTTAATGTAAGCTTATGTCATTCAATGTTGTATCAATGGTTTAAGTTTCACCTACCGGTAAGTGGCCCTTTCGTGGATACCGGACATTCTCTCTGATGGTCATCGAGACTTGTCAACATTACTTCATTTGATATCCAGTGGAATTATGACATGGGGGAAGTACGAAGTATTATCACTAGCTGCGAAGATTTCCCTAATGTTCCCCTCATAGGAACTAAGGGGTGTATCAACTATAATCCTGTGCTTGCTTATCGTCAATTTGGATATGCAATGGATGGACCGCCAAAGGTTGATGAGGTGTCTGAATCAGTGTATTTTGTTAGAGAAAGTGATCATGTGATGTTGAAAAGAGTGACAAGTGCTTGGAAGGGAATTCACAAGAAGGATAGAACTACTTTGGGCAAGAAGGTTCCTATTGATATGGTTTCTTACTAGGAATGGATTAAAGCCAGGGTTAAGATTTTACGGTTACCATTTTCAAGGTCGACTCCTATATGTGAACAACCTCCTACTGTTCTGAGTAACACGGTTCCTACCGAGGTGTTCACCCAGGTTCATGTTGAGAACATTCAACTTCGTGCAAAAGACCGTGAGGCAGGGATGAAACTTTATTGGGTAGATCAAGAAAGGGCCGACTTAGCTCGCAAACTCAAAGAAGCTCAAGGGGAAACTTCTGATGCAACCAGTTTTAGGAAGAGGTCACATGCCGAAATGGAAGAAGAGTTGATTAAGACCCAGCAAGAGTGCCAGAAGCTTCAGGCATCTGAGAATAGCTATAGGAAGAAGATTCAAAACTTGGAGAAACAGCTCAAAGACAACGATGCTCAGCTTAAGAAGGAAGTTGCCTAGAACCGTGTCGTAGAGGATCGGTTTCAAGAAAGTAAAGTAGTCACATCACAACTTTTGAAGGAGAAATCCAGGCTTGAAGAGTATTGTCAACACCTTGAAACGTGTCTTGTTCCGGAGATTTAGTTTTTGTTACTTACCTTTGGTGTATTTGGTCACCCCCGGGATTAGTGGAAGGGACCATTTGTTTGTTTTATTATTCAGTTTTTTGTTAAGTTTACTTTGAAACACGTATTTTGTTATTTATCTCTACACTCTTAAATGTCCGAAGTCACTCGAACATCGTTTCTTTTGTTTGTAAATAATTGAAGTGTTTGTCTTTTTGTCCTTTTTTTAATTGTATGTTTGATCTTCGGCTGCATGCCGTGATTGATGAATAAAAGGACTCTTGAATACCGGGAAATGACAAACATATCATGCACATCATGCATTTCATAACATTACAGGTTATCTCAAGACGGTATTCTTATTCTTCTGCTTTTCTTATTTAGAATTCAAGACGACTACTCATCGGTATTCCACCATGTTGTACCCCAAATTTTGACCTAAGATACCGTCTTCCATCCGCATTATTCGCATTGCAAGAGTTTTGACCTATTTTTATCAAATTTTCAAAACAGTTTAAAAATTCATAACTTTTTCGAGTCGGAAGCTGTTTATTTGTTGAACGCTAAATTTATTAACTAATCAAGACTTAAACAATGTTCATTAATTATTTATTATCTTAAATTCAAATAATTGGAATTTATTTTCGATTATTACGTAATTTAAAGATTTATAAATAATAAAAAGATTATTTGAGAAAAGGGTTTATTAATTGATCAAATAATGTTTATTAATTATTCATTATCCTAAATTTAAATAATGGGAACCTGTTTTCCGTTATTATATAATTTGAAGGTTTATGAATAACGAAATAAACATTTGAAAATGAGTATTAATTGATCAAGCAATGTTTATTTGATTATTTATTGTTCTAAAGTTAATAGCTGAAATTCTATTTTTTCAAGTTATTATAATTTAGAAGAATTAAAAATAATAATAAAATAAATAATTGAAGTTATTAATTGATCAATGATGTTTATTTATTTGTTTATCATTTTAAATTTAAATGATTGGATTTGATTTTTAATCATTATATAATTTAAGGAATTATAAACAATAAATAAATAATTGGAAAGAAAAAGAATTAATTGAGAAATAATAGAATTTTTATTCACTTTATTCTATTTATTACAATTGTCATTTAAATGTTGTGTTGTTACAAAATATTCATAAAGACAATTACATAAAAAGCTTAAAGTAAATAAAAAGCTATTTTTCTAAATTCTAATTCTAAATCTTCAATCCAATGTTCTTGTTCGCTCATTTAATTTTACCTGCGAAAACAATTAAAAGAAAAGTCAGAAGTGAATAAATAATTAAAATGCAGGAAATAAATTCAATGTTCATCATTAAAAGCAATGGCCGGAATCAGTTACTCTTTTTTGCAAATCACGGGATTTCTCCCGGTTCACAAAAAAGAGAGGAATTTTTAAATGAATGCATAATTAAAAATAGCACATTTTCAAAATCATTTGCATTTTTATCAAAAGCCTACTGCATATTTCACATATGCATAAATACTTTTTTGGTCAAAACTGCATAAGTATAAGTCACAGCATACATTTTTTCAAACAAACATATGCAAGGTACACAACAAGCCAACGTTAACCTGCAGAATAATATAGGCTAATGCAAGACAAAAACAATATGAAATTTCAAACAATGTGCAGTTTTAAACAATGCATGCAAGCAACCCATATTTCCTTTTTCATCATATTCCAGCCTATTACTTTTTCAGACAGCAGTACAAAATATCATTTTCATATATCAGTTTTGTACTTGAGGTAGAGAGAAGAAGAGGTTTAGTTTTTGCAGGTTTTGCTTTAAGCATGAATTGGGAATAAAGTCAACCATATGCAGCAGCATTTGTGCAGAACAGCAGAAAATATATTAAGATATTCAAAACCTGAGCCATGAGAATAGAAGGCAACGGCTATGAGAAAGGGATCCCTTCAAAAGGAAGTCCAAGCTAGCATATTTTCCACACAAGAACATCACTGCAAAAACTATCCAAAATAACCATTTCCAAGCATAACCATCACTTGCTTAAGCATTTGCAAAACAACCTGCATACTGCTATCAAATAACATATTCCATTTCCACACAGAACCACCACTGCATAGCATATCTTCACATAACCATTTCTACATATTTTCATTTTTCTGCATATTTTCATAAACCCACATATTTCATAAACCTACATATTTTTTTCTGCATATTTTCATAAACCCACATATTTCATAAACCTACATATTTTCATTTCTGCATATTTTCATAAACCCACATATTTCATAAACCTGCATTTTTTTCATAATTCTGCATACTTCAAAACATGTTCCTGCATATCTCTACATAAAACCTACATCAAAACCCATTCAAATCATTTTCCAAACATAACCGGCATATTACATAACCGGCATATTACAAAACCTGCATATTGCTAACCGGCATATTGCTAAACCTGCTTCATACAACCTGCTTCACACAATCTGCATACTGTACCAAAACCATAAAAAACGGTATAATCCAAAACCACCAAAAAAACATTTATTCAATATTTCCAATCAGTTTTTTAGACGGAGAAGAAGAGAAGAATTAGTGGCAGAAAGCAAGGAGCGAGGAGTCTTCGGAGCTTACCTGACTTCGCCGGAATCGTACCGTCGGACTAGCTCCGACCATGTGAGTTTTTTTCAGTTTTCCGCATAAACCTTTATACCGTTGCGTTGCCTTTGTCTCACTTAATAATCCTCTCTTAATTTCCTGAAATCATGAAAAATGGCCATTTAATATCATTGCGAATCATCAATACATCAATCCCTATTTAACACCGGCAACAATTCGTTCGATAAATTTCAAGTTTATTAAATGTTGCAAGACCGATACACAATCACATAAGCACTGTTAATTTAAAGCCAATTTGAAATAATAAACAAATTCACAAACCTTTCTTAACACAAACCATTATCATCACCATTCTAAATTCAACCAAAAACAACATTTCCATCCTAATCCAGATAAACATACTGTAATCTAACTTTCACAAGCTCCAGCCGACCCTATTCCCCCAAACTCTAACAAAATACCATAACAAAATTACCTTGCATTGATTCTTTCTTCATTCTGCAGAAGAATTGTAAATAAAAATTTTAGATCACTCTGTTTTTGCTTCGGTCTTCAGAACCTTCATCACTATCAACGATTCATCATCATTGTTTATGTCCAACTTCCACGGTGCCATTAGCTTTCCGTCTACCTCAGCTCCTCGTCACTATATCGATCACACACAAAACATAGCAACAGAGTAACTTTTCTTAGGAATAATAATCTTACAATAATGATTTGAGCAGCATGAAACTTTTAAAAATGGCAGAATATTACCAATGTTTGAGGCACGCGCAATGACTCCAAAATCGCACCCAGCTGGAGATCTCCTTTGATTTCGTTCCCGATCCGCAACTGATACAACAAACACCCTCAAACTTTGTTTCCAAACTCTCTCCATCGTTTGCCTTCAACTCACCGCCGCTCTCTTTCTCTCCTAACGCAGATGGATCCGGTCCAACCTAATGCTTCTCCGAGTTCTTCTTCTACTCATAGTAACACACCAATCTCGCATCAACCTACCTTGCTTCATTTACCTGCAAGTGAAAACAGGAAATAACAATTCCACTCAATCAAATAAAAGTAAAGAAAAGTTCACGCCTTTCTTTCGATTTACTTTCGCTCCTACCAAACGAAAAAACAAAACGCATCTTCCTCTCGACTCACTTTCATTTCCTTTCACTTTCTTCTACCTCATCTCAGACGAAATCGTTTTCAAAACCCTAACACAATAAAACTCCATACAAAAACCGCGTTTGGCATTTATCAGAAAAACGAGTTGGAGTAGCACAAAACTCTACTCGCCGGAAAACGCACCGGAGGTTGCTTCGACCGCCACATCCAGTGACCGAGTCCAGATGTCTCGAGCTGAAGAACTCTGGGAGCGGTTAGTTCGTGCTGCTTTAAGAAGGGAAAGAACTGGTGATGATGCATTTGGGCAACCTGCTGGTGGAATTGCTGGAAATGTGCCATCTGCACTTGCTAAAAATAGAGATATTGATGAAATTTTAAGAGTTGCAGATGAAATTCAAGACGATGCCCCCACAGTTTCTCGAATATTATGTGAGCATGCATATTCATTATCTCAAATTTGGACCCCAACAGTGAAGGCCGAGGTGTTTTACAATTCAAGACCGGTTTGATGTCTGTCATTAAGCAAAAGTTGGCTAAAAGGGAAGTTGGAACCATAGATAGAAGTCAGGACATTGCCCGATTACAGGAGTTCTACAAGAGTTACAGAAAGAAAAATAATGTGGATAAATTACTTGAGGAGGAAATGCAATTGAGGGAATCTGGTGCTTTCAGCCGTAATCTTGGCGAGTTGGAGCGTAAGACTGTGAAGAGGAAAAGGGTTTTTGCTACCTTAAAGGTTTTAGGAACAGTACTTGAGCAGCTGAGTGAAGAAATTCCTGATGAGCTTAAGCGGGTCATGGAATCAGATTCTGCATCAACCGAGGATCTGATTGCTTACAACATCATCCCTATAGATGCTGCTTCTTCAACAAATGCTATTGCTTTTTTCCCCGAGGTGCAAGCAGCAATTTCGGCTCTGAAGTATTTCAATGGCTTGCCTGAACTGCCCAGGGCCTATTTCATCCCTCCTACAAGGAATGCCAACATGTTAGATTTTCTGCAGTATACTTTTGGATTTCAGAAAGATAATGTAGCTAATCAGCGCGAACACATAGTTCATCTGCTTGCAAATGAGCAATCTCGGCTTGGAGTTCCAGACAAAACCGAACCCAATTGGATGAAGCAGCCTTGCATGAAGTATTCCTCCTAATCACGCTTCGAAATCCACTAAACCACGGTCGTTCTCGTTCTCGTTCTTCAGCACCAACACCGTCATTCCCAATTTCCACAATCATTATCCAAATTTCAAATTCCAATACAATAATACAGCCGCGTCGAAGATGAGTAGCGAACCGTGAAGGAGATCAAGCTTTGATGATGAAATGGATCGTGAAGGAAATCGGAACGAGAAGGAAGAAGAGGAGGTCCAGCGGCGGCCACGGCACCTTTAGTTCCTAGGTTTTTTTTCGCTTCAGCAATTTGTGTTTCTTCCTTTTGGGTCTGGGTCTTCCAACGACCCGGCCCATTTCCCTCACCCGCTCCACTCTCTTCAACTAAGCCCATTTTCTTTTCAGCTTAAGCCCATCTTTTGTTTGCTATTTAATTAATTCTTTTCATTTTCTTAACCTATTTTATTTTTAATTAATTAGTTTCTTAGAAATAATATATGGTTTTAAATAGATAATTTTAATATTTTATCTAAATCTCATTTAATCTAAGTTTAGGTTTATTTAATAACTTTAGTTTTCCTTATTTTAATTAGATTTTTGATTTATAAGTTTTATTTAATTTGAAATATTTAATATCTCTAAATATGTGAAAGTAAAAAATGAAAACTAAAAGACATGCTATTTTTTCCTTTAATTTATTCCCCTCGTTTTGATTAAATACCAATATAAAAAAGCCATAAAAAAATAGAAATATATAAAAACCTTAAAAAACATTTCTATTAATTTTCGTTATTTTTATCTATGTTAAAATGCGTAACGAATTAAAACATTTTTTTTTCTCTTCATATATTAAACAAAATCATCTAAAAAATGCATGTTCACATTTAATTGTTGTGTATCATTTTCTGTCAATTATTTCATTGTACTTGTTTATTCTGTTTGCACCAATCCAAAGGGAATTGTCTAATTTTTGTTGACTTCATGTCCTCAAAAACGATCGAGCGAATACTCTCATTCATTAAAAACTTAGGTTAATTTTCCTCAAACATTCACATTACTTCAAAATTTCAACCTTTTCAAGACTTATGCCTTTTAAGCCAAAACTTCGACATTAGGTCGTCGCATTTTCAAAAACCCGTCCGTATCCCTTTTTCGGCCAAAACGATTTATTTTCAATCAAGCGATCAATTTTAAACAAAACGGATATTTCAAAAGGTTCCTATAGAATACTATAGATGCATTGGGTGCTAATACCTTCCCATTGTATAACCAACCCCCGAACCATAAGATCTCTTTTCAAAAACGCCTTGTATTCTTATTACTTTTAAAAGTATTATTTACATTGCATATTTAGGGTTTTATTTCGCTCTTTTCCCTTTTCCTTTGGAAATAATAAAGCGCGGTGGCGACTCTTGCTTTTGTGAGACGAATTAATCAATAATTCGATCTCCGATTTACCCCGCTACATTTTTTATCGCTACTGAATTGGCGACTCTGCTGGGGAAAGATTGACCTCTTGCTGGTCCATCCCTAAGTGGGTTAAGCCTAATTTGTTTTATCTGTTTTATGGTTATTTGATTTGCTTGATTATATGTTTAAATTGGGGTGTTTGGGTTTCTTGCAAAGGACGAATCCTATACCCGGATTAAGTAACACTTAAGGAATAGGACGGGCGGTATAGTCATGTTAACTTTGAGGGAGTAATCCCGAAGAAGGAGGCATGAGATCCCCCACTCAATGGAAGGCCCTCTTGGACTTAATATTTGTTTACCGAGTAATCGGGAAGACATTATTATTTTCGACCTAGGAGCCCGAGAAGTTGAGGACCATAGAACCCCGACTCATCTTGGCCTTTTTAGGTGTAGCGCGGAGACTATAACGGAGTAATTCGGAAGTAGTTGTCACGCGATGCTACGCTCGGACGAGTTTCTCTTGAGAATATTGCTAATTATCGAGTAATCCAGACGTTGGCAATATCCGAAGGAGGAATGTAGACTCTGGGAATTCTTAGAACCTTGTTCTACAGGTGTGATTAAACCCTTAGTACATACCTTGGGGATGTTTTTACCCTTGACTCCATGCGAAACGTTGAACCTTTAAACCCCATGTTTGTGACCTTACTTGTGGTTGTTGCATCGCCATGCATTCATGCATCCATAAAACCCTTTTCACTTGACTTTGAAGGAGTTTGGAGGTCTCTCTTTGTAAACATCACTAGTTTCGTCAAACTCAATGGATCTTGGGTGTCGATAGGGCGAAAACCCTAATCCACCAAAATGGATGATTGATCTTGACGACAACTTGATCAATGTTTGGAGCCAATTTAAAATTCAGCTGTTATCTTCATACTTGGATGTTTATAACTTGATATCTTGAGTTCCTTGAAAGTCAAATAAAACTCTCTTTTGCATATCATACATCATTCTACATTTTCTTTGTCTCACTTTCAAAGGTCTTTTTCCGAGTCTTATTTTTTCCTTGGTCTCACCAGTACAACACTGACGCTAAGAGAACAATGGAGAATATCAAGCAAGAGGTTTCTGAACTCCGCAGAGAGGTGACTATTTTGAAAGCTGGTTTGGATCACTTAACTGGTTTGGTTGAAATTCTGATCTCCGCCCAAGTCAATCCTTCTAGGAGGGAGGAAGCGATGTTAAAAGTCTTCACGGAAACTCTAGAATCTTTTTCTCATGAAAAGGTGATGGTTAATGCACCTGACGACTTTCCTGACAAGGTGAATGTGGGAGTGCGTCTAGAAGAAGATGTCGGAAAGGGATGTTTATATGAAGTGGGTAGCTCAGTTAATGGTGTGAAGAGGTTTGATAATGACTTTTCCAAGAAGAGAACCAGAGGAAGGAATGATCATCATCAGAATCATCATGTTCATCAACAGAATCAACAAGTTCCTAATCGGAGGAAAACCCAGTTTGATTCAATTCCAGTCACCTACACAGAGTTGTTTCCTATCCTGATGCAGAGGAATTTGGTTCAGACCCGACCTCCACCGAAGGTCCCTAAGAAGATACATTGGAACTACAAAGCTGATTTGGCTTGTACTTTTCATCAAGGTGCTCGTGGGCATGACTTGGAGGGTTGCTTCGCTTTGAAGATTGAGGTTCAGAAGTTGGTCCGAAGTGGTATCTTGTCATTCAAGGACGTTGGTTTCGAAGTTCAAATCAAACAGGCGCCGAAGAGTAAACACGACTGAGGGTGACTTTGAGTTTTTGAAGATGTTTTCGGTAGTTCAAGTGGAAAGCCTTCCCAGATTATTAACTTGTTTCTGTTTTTGTAGCTTTTCTTATTTATCGAAACATTGTTTGCATGTAAGAACTTGTTGGCATCTGAATGATTATTTTAATACAATGAGTATGTTTGTCTTGAAGAAATTCATTCGTTTCACTCATATTTGCTCTCAAATTTTAAATTTCTTTTTGCATTGTGATACCAACATGTTGCCCATTCTCTTGCCTAGGAAGAGATTGAAGGGGGGATGATGATCTAAAGAACACAAAATCTTTGGTTGCATGCTTTTGAATAAAATCTTGTTGATGATGTACAGGCATTGTTTCAAATCCCTAAACACCGGAGATATAAGGAAGATAATCCTTCGCTAACCCCTTTTGAGCCTTTGAAGCAGAAGTTTCTTTTCTATACGAAAAAACCTTGAATTTTAACCTGGGGCAGGGTAGCTTTCTGGTAATTTGATTGAGTGTTCAAAATTCGTAAGAAAGATGTTACCGTCACAAAATCCTCTTTATAGGTGAACACTCAGTTTGAATTAACCAAGCATAGGGTCGGAGAACATCATGAAGAATGGGTGGGCACCAAATATTTCGAGCCTTAAAACCTTTTTCTAAAAAACCCATAAACCAGACCACATTACAACCTTCAAAAGTCCTAATTGAAGCAAGGTCATTTTGAAAGCGTACTTCAATGAGATAGTGTTGCTGACTCCCATGAGTTTCAAATAGTTATGTTGGTATCATATGTTTTTCCTATACGAAAATAAATGATGCTCTAACTCGCACAACTTGTGCGATATCTTTTCAAAATCTTCAAGACTTACATAACTGTTGCATTAGAATTTTCATTCTCATTGTACACTCTTTCTAACTGCAAAACATGCGTTTGATGTCAAGGAAGCTCACATAAACACCAGTGATGAGTTTACTCTTTTGAGGCTTGAAACTTTGTTGAGTAATTGGCGGATCACGTCGAGAGAATCATATCCAGGGGCATGTTAGTTGAAGACCTTAAGCATGGACAGGTTGCTTCTCCTAGTTATTGCTTTTCCCAATTTGTTTGCTCGTCTGGGGCAAAAATTCGAAGACTTTGTTGTGCCGACTACAGTCAATCCGGGGCAATCACGTCAAGGTTGGACGATTTCCTCTAAGAGTTTGAAGACACCAGAGCATGGTGAATGCCAGTTCTTTTGTAAACTCTCTTGAGACGTTTTTCCTCATCAACCAGATAGCTTGGGGGATTTGTAGAAGTAAAGCTATTCGCAACAATCGTCGTGCATCATGCAGCTCGTCAGCAGTGATTTGGGGCACCCAATTTGGTCCCCGGGGCAATCTAGACTTGTCAGAATGTGTGCTAGGCATTGCACGCTTTATCAGAGGATGGTGTTCCCAGTCTCCAGCTAAGCATGACTCCTTCCAGCAGAAGATTTGTTCATGTTGTCGACGATAGAAGATGGGACTTTGGGTTGAATATTTTCCTCTCCAAAAAGATTTAAGCCTTGTAGAAGGATTTTACAGCGTTGTTGACTTTTGTCTTCTATCTCCAGTGATGTTCCCCTCCTGTTGAGTTTAGCCGAGCGTCGGGTTGTACTGTGATGTTTCATCATCTTATGTCCGTCTCCCCTGTCTGTTTTGTCAGCATATACATGATATTCATGACATTCATTCACACTCGCATCATGCACACACAGTTGTATTTGTTAATGTCATTAAATTCGTACATCTTGGTTGTGCCTTTTCAAATAGCACATGTAATCTTTCCAAATAGGGTGTCAACTTAAGCAGAAAGTGCGCCTCCT